CCACCCTAGTAGCGATGACCTCCAACCTAGTAGCGATGGCCTCGAACCTAATAACTATGCTTTTCTCAAACTCTCCTTTGCAGTCCTTCTTGCTGATCAATTCCCTCGAGCAGTTGGGCTGGAATCATTGGCTCCTGCCCTGGCGCCAACACTTCGCATGGTCCGGTGATTTTCTTGCTGTCAAGGCCTTTGCTGCTTGCGGGTGACTTCAATTCCACTCCTGATTCAGCGGCGAGGGACCTATTGAACAACTTGACCTTGAAAAATACCGCAAGGTGTACGGTATCTGTTCCTTTTTCGTTAGGGTTGCAAGAGTTTAGCAGGCCTTCGGGCCTTGTTTCGGCAAAAGATGGAGAGGTCTACGAGTACCTCAAACAGGGCACGATCAATGGGGCTCACGAGGACTACCTGCGTTCAAGGTACCAAGGGGCCTTTAAAGGGCGAGTCCGGTGGGCGTCCGTGTTCTGAAAGAATTGACGTCCGTTCCACTTTCCGGGTCCGGGAGGATCTTCGATATGATCCATCAGGATTGCTCAGCAGGTGCGCGCAAGCGATCGGGTTTGCTTTCAATCTGTCTTTTATAGCCATTTAACCACTTATTGTTGCATTTGCAGGTGTGCCTCCAACCTGCCAAAGAAAAACCCTGTAACCCCTTCTGCTTGCTTTGAGGTTCAGAATGAACATGCATCACAACCTAGAATTGTCTACTGCCTATGCCGCTTGCACTGGCCAAGGGCCCAGCGATTCAGTAGCATGTTTAGAGCTTGGTGATCCAGCAATTCACCCTCTCAGGTCATGAGGCAGAATTCACGAACTACACGGAGGATCCAGCTGGTCTTGTTTTGTTGGCCGTTGAATCCCAGCTGGTCTTGATCTGTGCTGATTGTCGCACAGAACGACATGAAGAAAAACTGTGAGTGTCCCACAGGACTTCAAGGGCACCCTTGACTATATTTGGTTCTCACCACAGGCCCGCGCAAGCTGCCGCTTCGCCATCACCGCTGATCTCGACCGTCACCGGGTCGAGATCAGGTGCTCGAGGTCGTGGCCATTACACAGGTGGATGAAGAATGCGAGCTGAGAAAGGACAGACAGCTGCGTCGCAGTAGAGGTATTCAGAGGAACTCTTGGACTCAAAGATCACTTTTTTCAAGGGCTTGAACAAGGTTGTATTCAATGACATGATTTGGATTTGTTGGACTACAGTCTGACTATATACAGAGCTTTCAAGTACATATTGATATATTCTTCCAGATTGTCCGATTATAGAGGCAAGACTCTTGTCTCAAAGCTGCACAATGCAGGAACAGGCACTCCCTTCAAGCACCTGCCCATCAGATCACGTCTTGAGCCTACCACCTTGTCACCTTGTTGTTTGTTTATTGTTCAAAGCTGACATCAGAATCAGACAGTTCTTTTCTCCTTCTGTTTGAGTGCAAACAAGATGAGGTCTCACTCGTGGCTTCGTTCACGTTCAAAGAGGAACCAGAACAAAAGGAGCGGCACTTGGCTTTCCAAGTTTAGACTACAGACCCAGACGAGGACAGCCGTTGGATGGCGTGCGCCATGTTGTGTTTCGTTGTAGTTCAGCGGTGGAGCACGGGAGGCCGGCAGATTTTGGCAGCCAGATTATGGCCGCTGTCCAGAACCTTGGGAGTATGGCATGTGCTAAGCCATGAGGCAACATCGCAAATCAGTGAGATTGACCCAAGTGATCAAATGCGTGCGAATGCGTGATCTGGTTTCACTGTTCTATTCCACTGTGCGGTAGAGGGAAGCTTGAGTTGTTTGGGTAGCAGTGCTTTCAGAGCGATGTTTTGGGTGTCCCTGTGCAGTTTATTTGTTATGGATATGGACCAGAGCGTTTGCCCACCATGTCGATATTCTGTGTTTGCAGGCACGTTGGCTAGAGAGTTACACGAAGAAAGGAGCAAGCAGAGGTGCGAGACGGTTGGTCAGTTCGTTGTTATCACTATTTCAGATTTGGATTCCAAGTTCCAAGTTTATGTCTCTCATCAGCTTGCTCAGCTTAAACCAAAGTGACGTTGATCAATCGCCGGGAAGTGTTCTAGAGGGACCAAACGGGCTAATGCCGGGCTTGCTGGTCATTGCAACTGGTAATGCAGGCATGCGTCGAAGTTCTGGTGTCTAACTTACTCAAGCAGGAAGTAAGACATGAATTCCCAGGCTCATCACGGCTGCTCATGTTCCTATCACGGCCTTTGTTGGCAATCATGGCCACCACCAATGGCTCCGACGTGACGCCTTTGCGGCACGAGGCGGAAAGACTTCGAGGCTCAGTGGTGTGTCCACTACCTTGCCTTCGAGGCGCATCCGACACTTCAAAGAGTTGGCCGCTCGAAAAAGGGCCGTCGCGTCCGTTACCGAACTTTTATGCTTTTTTGATGTCTTTTGATCCCAGACTTCTGCAGAATCAGCAACTCAAGAGGGAAGCAGAGGGTGAGGTGATGTAGATGTAGAGCCATTTGCGGTCTCCTGTCTCAGTTGGCTGCACTGAGTGTCTCCAAACCAACGCAGGTTGCCAAACTTTCTGACATCTTACGGACTGGGATCCAGACCGAGAGGCCAGATGCGGACTTTTTGAGTTTGAGAGACGGTCCTGAGCAGTGCTACCAGCCAGTTTGGAAGGAAGGCTTTTCAAACCTGTTCAACATGGTGACCCTCACTAGGTCAACCCAAGAAGCAGCAAACATTGAAGTTACAATCGCTTATTTTGCGCAGTCTCCAATGGTAGCAGGGCTTAGCAGACTCAGATGTCTGGCGAATCTGTCAGCATCTCCGTTCCCAGTACAGATAGAGGCGTGCTGGACAAGTCGCAACCCACAACCACAATCTCCTGCTTGTTGTTGCTTTTGTGCTGTGTTCTTTTTTGTTGAATTTGCAAAAACTGTGAGCACAAAGAATGGATGTTAAATGCGTAGCGAACCCGCACCTACTGACACTAGTCCATCAGCGCCCGCAAACATGACATAAGCAAAAGACACCTCATTTCGCACCTGGCTTTCTCACCCCATTTTGCCTCCACCAAAAACTGTCTTGGGCGGCCCGTGTGGCCTTTTACGCTTGTCTACAATCTCTGATGAGCAATATGCTCAGCAATGCGTTCTCCAACGGATTGGATGGCCCTTTGAACAAACATGTGTGATTTGCGTTTGCGTGACTGACTGGGACTTGACTGATGACTGAAGTTGTTCGACATACAACGTGGAGGTGCCATGAATCTGACAGTGCTCGGCTCAAGTGGTATCACGACCGTACAAAAGACTTGGAATTTGAGGAGTGACTCACTTCTCAGGTCCAAGATTTTGTACGGTCGTGGTTTGACTAAACTGATAGATGATTTGTTTGGGATTGCCAGCTTGTTTATCAATGTTCCTCAGCTGGGTAACTGGGGGAACTTGGCAAATCTGATTCTTCAAAATCAGAGTGTGCATTGTGCAGTGGGCTGAACATGATGAAGGTCAGTTCAGTTTCAGTTCCCTCCTATTTCATCGAAATGCGATTGTCGCTGGCAATTGGGGAGAGTGGGAAGTGATGCCGCACACCCAGTAAAAGTCGTGTTAGTGTTCAGCTTGTCGCAAACGATACGACATGCCAAAACATGCTTGAACATCAACCTTCACTTCCACATCCAGCCTCGAACATGTTTTTTGGAGTTTGTATCCGAGGCTCGCCTTTGCAAACATGCTTGTGGCAAGCCAATGCCTTTGTTAAAACAACGTTGTGATGATTCAGTTGACGGCTTAGGCCCTTACGCCAGTACGGCCGGGTGAAACGAAAACAGCAAACGCGTTTGAGACTAAAACAGGTGGCAAGCGGGTGCGCTTTGTTTGACACATCTTTACCAACAATTGTTAATTGTTTTTGGAATCTTCTCGGCTGGCCTTTCTTGATACGTATATCGTTCTCCTGCCGAGCAATGACTCATGTAAGCCGGGCGCAGAGTAGGACCGGCACTTTTCTTGACATCCGCGCCTAAAACAGCCATCGAACCATTGACCCCAAAAAGAGCGCTATTAAATTAATTGAGGATGTATGCAAACCCTCAAAGACAGTGGGGTACAACAAATACAAGACACCTCCTTTACATGCTTTTATCCTCTTTGAAGTGTGCTTTCATCCCCTTTCGAGGTGCAGCGCCCAGGCCGTTGAGGCGCCCGGGTCAGCCCCTTGGGTCAGCAGTCACTGACAACCAGCCGAGGGGGGGCAAACTGGCAAACTTCTTGGGAACATGGTAGAGAGATAGAGATAAACTGATACAAACCTACAAACATCTACAAACAATAGATTAGAGGTTCTACTGTCAGACCTTAGGCTTTGTACTATCACTCTTTTGACCACGAATCCCATGTCTCAACATTGCTTTGATTCTATGATGAGTTCAAGTGAGCGTTGCTTGGTTCTATGTCGCTAGGAGATTGTTGAAAGCAGTCTTTAATTATCTTTGATACAGAACATGTCGAGCAGGTCACAATTCTTTGAGCATGCATATTCTTGGGATCCCAGGGAGATATCCGGACTAGCAACCCATTTGAAATCTGCTCTTTATTAATTTATTACAAGATGTTCATTACATTGGCACTCAACTGTTTTGCAGCCAAGCGTGGTGTCGTACAGGCGGCCAAGCCGGCGGTTTCCGTCTTGCCCAAGCCTCAACAATTCGAGATGACCAATGATTAGTCGCTCGTCGTGTGTTTTTCGCTCGATGATTGGACTGGAATAAATGCGAACGGCCTGTTGAAGCAGAAAAGACCAGTATCAAAAAAGCAAAGGCTTGTTTTCTCGCTACTTCAGCTGTGACAACAAAGCACCAAAATGACCAAAGGTAATTCAAGGTAATTAGGACACTTGTTTGTTGGAAGCTAGGTGTGTTCCCATTGTCTTTACTGTACCATTTTTTTAAGAGTTGTGTCTATAATTTTGCTTATTTATATATATACTATGTCAATTTTTTGGAGGGACATCACCAAATGTTCATTTTTGACGTTTGATATACAGTTGACCTTCTAGGACAATTGCAGGATTGCTCAACCGACTTCAGGGGGTGCAGTGCCGTGCAGCATGGGCATCATCGCGTGCCGTGGGGGCTCTGTCTCTCAGAGCTCTTCCGATGCGGAAGACTGCAGAGAGTCGCTGCGGGCCATTGCACACGACCTTGGTTTCAAGAAAGCCCCCTTGACAATGCCCAAGGGCTGCTTCACCGAGTTTGTAAGACCTTCTTCGGCGGCAGAGCCCAGATGTGGCCTTGTTTGGATGCACGGGCTCGGAGATACTGAAAAAGGCTGGGCAGACACTTTGAGGAAGCACTTCAGAGTACCTTGCGGGCCATGTAAGTTTATTCTACCTCGTGCACCCACACAAAGATCAAGTTGCACAGGTGGAGACTTCAGCACAAGTTGGTTTGACATTGCTGACTTGCCCGTGTCCCAAAAGACGCATTCCTTTGCACATCATGGCTGCTCTTTGGAAGAAGCGCTTTCTTCCTGCGGGCGAGTTCATGCAGCAATTGACCAACTTATCACGGAGGGCATTCCGGCAGAACGTATCATGGTCGGAGGCTTTTCTCAAGGTGGAGCAATGGCCATGCTCTCAGCAGTGACCTATCCAAAACGGCTTGGGGGAATCATTGTATTTAGTGGGATTTGTTTCTTTGGTGATTTGTTGAAGCAGTTGACATCAGCTCAGTCAGCTCATTGCACAGACCTAGCGGTGTTTTGGGGGCACGGAACTCGTGACCGAGTCCTTTATGCAGATTTGCAAGATGAAGGGGTGGAGATGTTGCAAGTTGCAGGCCTGAGAGTCACCGCAAAGAAGTATCTGGCTGAGCATGATTGTACGGAGGAGGAGCTGAAGGATGCAGTCGCTTTTTATGCGGCAAACCTGAAGTGATTCTCAGAGAAAGAGTGTTATCATGATTCTGAACTGAATGCTTCCAGAGTAGTTCCAACCAGTTCACTTAGGCCAGATGTTCCGCTCATGCAAAGTTGATGTTTAAACCTAAGTTGCCTTGCTGCAAAAAAATACTTGTTCGCTGTGCGGCAAGCAAAGTTGCATCGGGAGTTCCTCTCATAGAGCTTCCCTCTGATGTCATTGTGGGATCTTCGACCACTTGATTTCTTTTTATTTCAATATTATAGTATTGCATCGTGTCCGAAGCCACATCTGATCTGGAATAGATGAGTGGTTATTAAGGCTTCGCCATGCGTTTTGGAGTCTGTTCAAAAGAATGAGCCACAACAGCAACCTAAGGGTCCCCTTTGTAAATGATATAGAGATTCAAGTCTCTACTCGGGCTTACTTGGGGATTCACTGCACGCCTTCCGAAAATGCTATAGTGAGGTGCTTCATTTAGGGGATGGTGTTTTTTCCAACAGTAACCGGTGTATTTCCAGACAGTTGCACTCATCGGTGTTTTTCCAACCTGTGGCTGGTGTTTTTTGCGACGGTAAGCTGCCCACCAGTGTGTTTTGCGTCAGTTGTTTGGTGTTTTTTGCGACATAACTGGTTACTGTGTTTCTTGTGACAGTAGTAGTAGTAGTAGTAGTAGTAGTAGTAGTAGTAGTAGTAGCTAATAAAAATAGTAGTAGCAGTAGTAGCAGTAAGTAGTAGCTTTTGTGGTTGTGCTTGTCGTACTAGTAGTGCTAGTGCTAG